ATGGAGTGACACTCGATTTTTCTGAGTTCTGGATTTTTTCATTAAGTAAACAAGTTCATTAGCAATAATTTCCATACCATTGATTTTCATATCTTCATTTATTTCCACATAGTGTGTCTGTGTATGTGATTTTAAGTACTCGTATCCTATCTTATTAAGCGTATTAAATGTGGCTGACTCATTTAAGAATTTTTCAGTTTATAAATTTCTTAAAAAATAAGAAATTGAACTTTATGGTTTTCTTTTTTTAATATGTTCCCAACTAATGCGTACATACATATGTATGTACATACTTATATACTATTTATGAATCTGTATTTTGGGGTAGGGATGGATATGAATAGATATGAGTATCTCCGTATTTGCGTAAAGATATTTCAGCATAGATATAGACTGTAGTTTTACCACACATTGACATATGAAAAAATTATGCTTCTCGCTGTAATAAAATCTAAAATAATGACGTGGAGACACGCGCTTGTCTTGCTTAAATCAGTGCAAAACGCTAACTTCCGCTCGTTAAACAGTTGAAAAATTAACTATCAACCAAATCGCACAAACAAAAAAATTACAATAAATAAATAAGTATGTATGTAGATTCATATGAAACGCGTTCAATATTGCCAACACATCGCGATATTATGTTTCCAAACATTTGCAAAACATACAAACACACGAACACACTCAAATGCGTAATTACAAACACACATAGATACACTCTGTTTGTGTACGTGTAATTGTGTAAGGAACATATAGTGAATTATGGCAATCATTTCAATGGCGCCACATACCAAATGACAATAAATAAAAATAATAGTTCGTTGTCATTGTTATAAACATGTAGATGACTATTGTAAGCGAAACGATACCCACCATAGAATAATAGACTTACACATATAAATACATACATACATATATAGATCTATTAAGTTTTTTCAAAAAACAAGTGTGTTGGTTTTAAAATAGGCCTCTTAATATTTAAAGTGTATCCTCAATACTTTGTTGGTTTCTTCAACAACGTCTGTGTCTTCACATGCATGTAAGTATGGACGTATGTATGTATGTACCTCTCACTCCCTTTGATATGATTTCATGTCATTTTTATTTGTGATGACATTGTATATGTGAATATAATCAAGGAATTGACAGACATGTTCATATTATGAAAAAAACAACAACACAATCTAATTGTATTTGCCTGTCTGCCAGCCTGGGTATTTTATTTATTATACCCTACACCACTATAGTTGGAAGGGTATTGTACGTTTGTGCTGATGTTTGTAACACTCAAAAATATTGATCCTTAAATGATACTGTCGATTTTCGTAATAATCAGGCCCATTTAACCCTAACCCCCCTACAAAGTCCCCTTTAGAAAATTACATTACTTATAAACACTAGTAGCATGATAAATTTCTGCATAAATAATTTCAATGTAAACATAAAACATTGATCTTGACAGGCCCACATTTACCCTTATAACTCCTCTTTCAAAAAAACCTTCTTTGTCAACAAATTGTTAAAATATTTCAGAATTATGACTAAAAACAACTTAAATGATATATTATTAAAAATAATCCACATTTTTACATACTACTCACTGGTATAGGGTATCATATGATCGACCATGCCCGACTATACATTCTTACTTGTTTATTTATTTATTTTCTCAAACGCTTTACTCTAGAATATTGTAAAATAAAAATATCCTAAAAGAGTTCATTTTTTATATACAGTTCTTCATTTCGTTCTTGTGTTGTTTGTTAGTAGTATGAGTATAAAGATTTACGAAACATTAATCTTAAGAATTTATGAGGAGAAAATTTACTTTCATTTACTATATGTATGTGTGCATGTATGCACGCATATACAACAACAGCGACAACGGCAAGGACAACAGCGTACTGTCTGTCTGTCAATCGATGTTGATTTAAGTTTTATACTTATGTATACATTCATACATCCTGGCATAACGGAGTATGAAACGATTTCATATTTTTTGTTTTTTCGCTTCTATTTGAGGAGGTGTTAAATGTGTCACGTGCCACAAAAGTAATTTCACTTTTATAAGCTCTCATCTTGTATGTGACAAAAGGACACACTTAAGTTTACATTAAGTAAAAGAAGAAAATGTGATGACCATAAACTTAAGTGTTTGCTGTAGTTTTTTATTTTTTGTTGTTGTCAACATTTGAAGAGATTTTCGTTTTTGCACAGTCACACATATAAATACCTTAATTTAAACTCTGCCAAAGCAAGTCGAGTTAAACATATGCTGACCGATCAACAACAAAACGTCAGGGACAGAGAAGCGGAATATTTAAGAATTGAGTATAGAATAAAATATTAAACACAAAAAAACTGCTAATAAAATTAAATTACATAAATTTCAAATTTAAATTTGTATATATTTCAATTTTGAAAAAAAAAAACATTACGGAATATTATCTTCAATTCATATAATTCAGTTCTGGTTAGTGGCTTCTCTCATTTGGCCAGCAATTTATGCATAAAAAAATTGAAGAATATAAATGAAGCATATGATTACTTACTAGAGTGATGGCTAAAATACTTAAATTGTTAATGTGTCAATATAACTTTAACGATGGCATTTTATTACCAATTAAATTGGTTGGATTACCATCGTAATTGTTATATGTATATAAAAATTGCTAATGTGAGTCCACCAGAGATTTGAATATAAATTTGAAAAATTAGAATGAAATATTTTTGGTCTTGTGGTGGATATTCTTGAATGGTGTATTTTTAAAAATATTTTTTAAGATATTTTTTACTTATAAGACAACCTACGTCCAATCCATTAATCTACTATATTTGGTCTATTATTTGTATCGAATTATTGAAAAGATTAATTGAAATTTTTCATTTCATTGTTTCATGCAAATCTTAAGTTGTACATAATATTTTTATGGTTTTGCATTAAAAAACAAATTATGATAAAGAAAATTAATTCAAAAATAATTTTTGTCATCCAAAAATATTGGTCCTTTGATGAAATTTCGTATATTCTCTGAGACGCTAGCCCCCTTCTGTTCCCTTCAAAAAATGACATGAAAGTCAACAATTCACTTTCAAACACTTGTATCACAATTAAATTCGGCATAAATAACTTCTATGTAAACGTAAATCCCTCACTTATTTTCATTAAAATATTTCGGAATATAAAAAATTAGCATTTTTAACTTACTGGTGTATCTGGTGCCATGTCCGTCTATTCATTCTTACTTGTTTGTATAAATAGTTGTGTTTAGGAAATAAGAAGGTGTTAAACTATCAAAAGAATTTCTGTTGTTTATTAATACAGATACAATCGTTTTTAACGAAAAGAAAACAAATTGTATAACCAATTTTGACAACTGACGGTGTTGACTTCTATTGGAATTTTTACAAAGAGTTATCAATTTTCTACGGAAAATTTCAACTAGCACAATCTATGCACTTTAGGAAATAAAATAGGAATGATTTTTTGTTGCAAATTAACACATAAATATAAAAATTGATTTTAATTCGAAGCTAACTAACAAAGACTTCACTACGGAATGTATTGTAAAACATTTAATTTAAGAAAAATCAGTCTTGTAGTTCCCATACTAGAACAAATAATCGCTGCTGTAGGTTGTATAAATTCGGTCATAAATAGGCAGGATTTAAAGATAATCACTGAAATAGCAATGACATTTTTATTAACGACTTTAAATTAAATGGTAATTGTTACAAGTTAAATAATTAAAAATAATTTGCAAGTGGAATGAAACATTTAATGCGAAGAACCATAAATGTACATATTTTATTTTTATTTATTTATTTATTCTCATTAAAACGAGGAAAGCTTTTCATACATCTCTGTTTACTAATCTACTGTGTTTAGAAAAGCTTGCGAGTTTTTTTTTTTTTTAAGAATAGCAAACTAAATAAACCTACAAAAGATGATTTAAACCAAATTATGGTTGGAAATACACAAAAATAATGAAATTTTCTCTTAAAAAATACAAAATTGCTCATAGGCTAGGTTATAAAATTAAAAAAAAAAAAATAAAAACAAAATTATGCTATTATTCAGCATATAAATAATTCGTTAATTATGATAACATCTTTATAAATATAATATATTCATTAAATTTATATGTGTTTATCTTTTGTTCGACTAGTTTCATTATTTTTGCTAACTTGATGCAAGTGCAACGTCATTTGGACCAACGATGGACAAATTTATAGGTCATGTAACATTAACTTGTGCTAGTATATATTTTTTCTCTTTCTATCTCTAATATAAAGAATATAAAGTTTGTAATTGCTCACATGCCCCAGAGAGCCCTTAATAAGGAATTTATTGAGAAGTTACAAAATAGTTTTATTTAAAAGAGAGCATTTTTAAGAAGAGAAATAAAAAAAAAACAATACAAAATCGCAGCTGATAGAAACAACCGATTATGAAACAGAAATATTTGCAAGTAAAACTATATAAACAAATAAAATAAATGAATCGTTAGTATTTCTAGTGAGAGTACAAGGAAACATAAGCGCCAGCGCCCCAAAATATTAACGAGAGCAAGCATCCTTTTGGTTTCTATTCAATATGTTTCAAGTTCTCCTTTAAAAATGAAACGGATAGGAAGTGTATAAAAAAATTTTGTTTACGTTCTTTGATGGATGAAACCGGAGCAAAAGAAGGCACTCATGAACAGAATACACACACAAATATCCATTATATTAGGAGGGCAAAATAAAGCACAACAAAATAAAACAAGAACAATAATGCAAAGAAACAGAAAGAAATATATGAGTTGAATTCGTTAGATAGTCAAGATAATTGTTTGTATATGATTCTGGTTAGAATCGGTTTTCGTTATGTGTCGTTGTTTTTGTTTTTGCGTTGTCTTAGATTCTGTTTTCGTCTTCTCAGAAAAAAACATTTACTGAGGAAATGAAACTGAAACACATTGAGTTCGCTGTCTGTCAGATGTTAGTTTGAAAAGTGCTTTCATAACGTTCGGTACGCATTCATGTTTAATCACACGGTTCTTTTTTATATGTACATAGCGGCTGAAAGGGATAACCGAATACCTACACAGTAAACAAATATGATGCTTAACGGCATAAGTCAGTATAAAATTTTCAATTAATTCTCTAAAATTTAAAAAAAAGCAAAGTGAATATTATTGTTAAGAAAAGTATTGCATCTCAGTTATATGTAGAATCGTTCATAATACTTAAATTTTTTAAATTACATATATTCCCATCTACTTGTTAGACCTAAAAAGTTAAATTCAAACTAATTAAACGCACTCACATGCATATGTATGTGTAATTAAATATTCACACACTCACAAATATTCGGGCAAGTGTGTCTGTGTATGTATGCATTATTGTGTTCTAAAAACATCTAAAAAATAATAACTATAACCACTATTGGATTGACACAGATACGTACTGCACTAAGTGCATACATCGATGTAAATATCTACCAAGATACACATATGCATTAAAAAGAAAGTAAAAAAATATGAAAATAAATAAAACCCTTTGGTTAAAGTGATAGTGATGCCAGGTGATGTTTTTAATCTTTTCACTCTACACATGAGTGCGAGTGAATATTTATTTTACACTGTTGTGTCTGTTGAACTCATAAAGTATTTGATGTACTGGTGAAACACATGCCACGCATACCAAAACTTCCACAAATGGTCATTATTTACCATTCACCTTTAGTGTGGTAAAACGTTGTTAAAATCTCACACATATGGAACGAAGGAATTTATTTGTGAACGTATGTATGTATGCATATATGTAAGTGATTGAATGTGTGTCTGAATGTGCATACAAATTCAGATAATTTGTACCAGTATAAACATACAAACAGTTACATTTGAGTATGGATTTGTGTTCTTAAGTGTAAAATACTTGCAAAATCATTCGAAGATATGTTGTTGTTATAAAAACAATCAGTAAAGAAGAAAACAGAAACAAAACGTGCATACTAAGTGTAAAATAAAAAGCGGAAAATATTAAATAAAGATTTTCTATACAAAAATCATAACGTGCATTGGATTAATAATAATTTCAAACAACACAAAAAGTGACTGCGAAATATAGTCGAAAACCGAAACAAAGATTTCAATATAATTCAAGAGCTTAAAGCAACAATCTATTAAGTGATATATGATCACTGCAACTAAGGTAAATATTTAATAAGATTATTAACCTTTTTTGAACAAATAAAAACTATTTACAAAATTATTGATAACAACGATAGTGATTGTTTTTCATTCAATTGATTTGTGGTAATCAAATCGAAATCAATTAACATTTGACATTAATTGGTATTTATGAACAACTACATTTTGTCGTTTAATTAAAATTCATTTGATTTACTTCAAATTACGAATCTATCTACATATATACCCTCCATCAAAATTTAGTCGAAAATTTAAAATAATATGATATGTTATTATTTATCACCTGCAGATTGATTTTAATAAGAAAGATGGGGTTTTCGGACAGAACTTTGTAGAATTTATCAATCTAACAATGGTATTTTAATTAGCAATTTGGAATAAATTTTCCCTTAAAATAAATTTTAACTAATTCAAAATAATATTAAATTTAAATTAAGATCTTTTCTTCTGCAACAAAACAATTTTAAACAATAATTTAATTAGCAATTTAGAATAAATTTTCTCTTCAAACTACATAATTAAAAAATGTGTTTAATTAAAATTTTACTTTTGCAGAAAAACACTGTTAGAACCTTTCGATTTTGTAAGTTTATTAAGAACAAGGATAATTTCCAATTACTCTGTTAGGCTCATCAAACTCATCTCAAACTCCAGTTAATGTTTAACCGGCAAATATATAGGATATCGGTTAAAATGTATATCTTTATATCTGTATATCTTTTCGATACAGTTTTAATTAGAAAACTGGAAGTGAATACATACATATGTATATGGTGTCATAGCAATCGAATCTCCACACACATAATAAGAAGTTATTTTTGTTAATTTATGTACATAATTAGTTACAATGTATATCACTTTATATGGCGTAAGTTTAATATTGGGGTGATAATAACCTTAATTAAAACAATTGTTTATATTTTATTATTTCCTACTATATTTACTAAAACATACGGACGTTATTAAAATCCCAGTAAAAACTTTCATTACCATGTAAGGAGTTAAAAAATGCTAAAATTTACTTACACAATAGCATTTTAAGTCATTATTTTAAGATGGTGATGTCATTGGAGGCAAGTACTTACCACAAACGATTACAAGTAATTAGAAAAAGTAGTCATTGTAAATCGCGCGAAAAAACGTAAACTATTGAAAGCTATTATCCAGTTTTTGCCGGAATGCTTTAATTTATACATATTATGTACTTACGAATAACTCTTCTTAGGCGTATACGTTATGACTATTACATATGGTTATTACGTATACGCGAATGATATTTTCATGTTTTTTTTTTTAGTTCACATAAATATGTACATTGTACATATGTACATATGTATGTAGTTGAGGAAATATGCACGTATGTTATTTTCCTACTAGGGAGTTCAATTATAAGTTTTTTTCAAAACCCGGTTTTCAGGATATTAAATTTGTTTTTCTTTTTTTAATTTTAATGATTTTATAATTATTTTATGTTATTTTACATACCATTCACAAAACGACTTGAAAATATTATTATTATTATTATTTGTAAGAGAAATTTATAAAAAAGATCATTTAAATTTGTTTGTGAAAGAATTTAGACACGCGATTTACCGAGATTTAGCGTGGATGGTTTTTGCACCAATATGAGTCCTGAGAAAAAGGACAAATTCTAAATTTTAGTTTATTATTCTTAATTCAATCTAAAAAGTTATATTGAGAAGAATTAAATTAAATTTTTAACGGGTTCTTGAATCTCATTTCCTTGAATCTCAAATTCATTTTAATTCTAATATAAAAACGATTTATACACATTAATGAGAATAGAACTCTAAAAAAATTTGTTTTGCTAATGAACTAAAATATTTCTAAATCAAGAAAACTAATTTTGAAATAAGGTCATTTTGGTATCAATTAGATTTTTATCATATTTAAATCGATCTTAATTCAACTCAATTTAAGTATACATTGTGAGATGAATTTAATTCCATAAAGTATAAATAAGAGCTAAAATTTTTGTATTTGATTAATTCACTCGAACCAAGTATTTGTACTTGGTTTAAGAAAATTCGCTTCGGATTGATTTGAGTACGGATTACTCAATTCTTTTTTGAGTGTATATTAGGATAGGTCGAAAATAATCTTTTCTCTCCGATCAACTTCTAATAGTAAAATTATGTTGTATTTTAAAGTCGAATGGAAGTCTGTAAAATATTATTCAAATATTTTGAGAGTAACAGCCCGCGCACCGCCGCCAAAGTTCTTAAATGCATTTATATGAGAGAAAATGGCACTTTTTTGAGTTTTTTCTAAAAATATGTTTTGGAGATGCTGTTAAAATAATGGCCGTTTTTTGACCACCGACTAAACCTAGTAAGCGTTAGCCAATTTCAACAAAACACATTGCACATTTATGAATCTCATAAAGGCAAACATGAAAAGTGTTAGTTTTTGGATCCTTGCTCCAATCTAGTATGGACATGCATTTTACACAATTGGATTTGAATGATTTTCCGCATCGATTAAACCATGCCCGTCCGTCCGTCTGTTCGTGTGAAGCTTCAGGGACAATTACAAGTAGATAATGGGTCTCAAAAATTCCGTAATTTTGAGCTTATTGCGGGAAAAATAATTAAAATTTTTGTTAGTGTATTTCTAACATTTCAAAAAATTTTGAAATGGACCAAACCAAATGCCAAACTATTTTATAAATATTTTTCTGTATAATCTAAAGATTACGACAATTTTGACACCTATTTCGATTAAAACGAAAATAATATGCCCCATTAACACACTACACATCATTTTGTAAAAAGAAATTTTAAGATTATCTTTCTCGTAATCAGCTCAAAATTACAGAAATTTTGAGACCCATTACAAAAAAATCGAAAATATTTTATTTTTCAAAAATTATACTGAGATCAGAATATTTAATCGCTGGTAGGGAGCTGAGGACCATGTGAAAATAATATTTTTTTTAGTTTTCTCGTGTTCAGTACATTAATACGCATCGATCGAGAGGTATTCATACATGATATTCTAAATAAGAGTGTTATACATATTGTACATATGTATATGTATTTTAAAGACTTTATGGCTGAATCTTTATAGGACACTTATATTTTTTATGTAATTGATATAGATATATAGATTTTAAAAATCTGATTTTTACCTAGAAGTGTCAGTAAGCGTAAAAAGTTGGAGATTAAAGGGAGGAAAGACCAAAAGGCTAAATTAAGGAATGCGCACGAAAAAAATGGTTTCGTTTGTTTGAATTAATTTACGCACAGAATTAATTAGTATTGTTATAGTTTTTACATTTATCAGAACCTTCAGTAATGTTATATCAAATTTCATCTTAATTTGTAAAAAATAAATATTATTATTTCCACTGTAAAAAAATTAATGTGGTTTTCACGAAATAATTTTTTTTGTATGGGAAAATGTGTGTGTCACCAAAAATTCATTTTGTAGATCGTAGGAATGTTGAAACTACATGTGACTATTGTTACACAAATCAAAATCAAATCAAAATAATTCAAAAAGGAAGATATATGAAAATAAGAAGAATTTGCCACTTTAAATAGGCTTCTGTAAACGGAAAAGACGTAGTGACTTTTTAATTAATTTAATTTGTTAAATAAATTTGAATGTGTATCTACTTGTGATAAATATACAATAAGGTTATTTCATTAACAATTTGAAATTGTTTTGAAGTTGCAAATTTGAAAAAGGTTGCTTGCTCATTTGCTAAAGCTTTTTCTTTTAAAATAATGCCAAAGTATTCACCCATAACAACGTAAGAGAAGCGAAGCAACATTACCAGAAGCAATGATATTTATGAAAGTAAATGCTATGTAAACCACAAAAGAATTACATGGAGAACAATTACCATTTTCCCCAAATACCAGATACCGGAGTAAACCACGAATGAAATAAACAAATGTGAGAATATAAATGTAAAGTCTTTTAAATGATGTTTATGTGAGTGAGAACGTCTTACACACATACACATGCAATACAATAAATAAAGACATTGCGAGAAAAAATAATATAATATAAAATACAACAGTACAAATTGTAAATAGTGATGGTGACAGACAAATATATTAACCAGAATGAAACAGAAAAACAGGAAGAAAAGCAAAAACTGTCCTCAGAGACCCAAACGAAAATAAAAAAATACAAAATAACAAATACTAAAATAAATTTAAATAACAGAACGCGACAAAAATAAAGCAAACCTACCTTAAGAAGAGTTCTTCAAACAAAAAGGTTTATTTTACGTGGTTGAAATTAATTTTGAAAGAGCTACCAAGAAATGAGCATTAAAAAATATACAAAAATATTTAAATTGTACACCGCTTTTTATTTATTCTTTTTTTATTTTAGCTTAAATAAATACAAAAAAAATTTATTTTATTTTCTTTGTTTTTTTAACAACATTTTCCACTTTAGGTTTAAAACACAACTTTATACTATAAAATTGAACTACATAAGTAAACAACAAATACACCAACATACAACTACATACAAGTGTGCTTATATATGTATGTAGGTATGTATGTGTGTGTGTGATTGTATCTAGAATAAATTTTTATTTCAAAACTGACACAATATCATTTATTTACTTATTTTTTAGATAAAGGGTACAAAAGGCACTTAAAACGTAAAATAAAACAACAACACCAAAAAACTTTTCTTATTCCTTTCAAAAGAAATGTGGGCGGGTGGAAAAACAGGTTCGCAAACAAAAATAAAAAAGAAATAATAATCCAAGAAAGAGAACAGTGGCAACATATTTTTTGAATTTGATTTATACAGATTTGTTAAAGTATGTGTGTATATACATGTTGTTTTTACATAAAAAAATAAAGGAAAAAACAAGTAACACAAGTGTACAAAAATTCAAGATTCATGTTGTATGTGTAGAATAACAAATTCTTGCAAACAAGTGACACACACGAGAATTGCGTTAAGAATTTCCTAAAGAATCTTAAGTGTACTTGCAATTTGGTTCCA